CCTCCCAGCTCTTTCCTCTATTTCCCTTGATTCTCCTCCTGTCCCACTATCATGCTCAGTCCCCACCAGGATTTCAGCACTTCCTCTTTGTTACGTTTCCCTTGATCCTGCCCTACCAGGTCTCCCACTCCCACCCAGTTTTGCTTTACTTTAAAAAGAAAAAAGTTACTTTAAAAATGTTTAGCATTAAGAAAAGCCACAATGTTGGATTATTAAAATATAATTACTGAAATGAGAAGATATTGTCAAATGCATGAAAATTAACAATTAGTTTACTAGCTATGTATCTACACAGCAGTAGAGTTTATGTGAGTAGTTTAATTTTTCTAGCATTTAGATATTTTATTTTAAATCTACTCAGTTCTCAACCCAGTAAGTAAAAAGCTTTTATTTAGCCTCAAGAGTAATGACCTTCCAGGTACTAAATATAAAAGGATGTAATCAGAATTGCTCACATATGTTTTGGAGAGTCAATTCTATCCTTTAAAATCAAATGAGACTTGCCATTCTGGAAAAAAGCAACAACACAAAAAAACCAACAAACAAATCTCCAAAACACCAAAAAACTTGTTAGTTTATTGAAAAAAAGTAGTTGCTAAGACCAAACAATCACTTGCAGTTAAGTATTAAGCATAAAAAAATTGTAAACGTTTATATGAGAATAAATCTGGTTCTTAAGACAGCGACGAGAGTTGTAATGGATAAGTCAGAAATGTTAAGAATCAAAAGGAAATATAAGTTAGCTTCAGAGTGCGACGGCTGCAAAGGGCAGCCTGGAACATGGTGCCGTTGGGTACATGGACAGCCTCACACATTACCAAGGACATGCTCCCCGGGGCCTACCCCAAGACTCCAGAAGAACAGGCTGCCGCCGCTAAGAAGTATAACATGCATGTGGAGGATTACGAACCGTACCCGGGTGATGGCATGGGGTATGGCGACTACCCGAAACTTCCAGACCGCTCACAGCATGAGAGAGATCCTTGATATACCTGGGACCACCTGGACCTGAGGTTGAACTGGGGTGAACCGCTCCACTGGGACCTAGACATGTATATATGGAACCGTGTGGACACATCCCCCACGCCTGTTTCTTGGAATACCATGTGTAAGCATCTCTTCGGTTTTGTGGCCTTCATGCTGCTCATGCTCTGGGTTGGAGACTAGTACCCCACCTACCAGCCAGTGGGGCCAAAGCAGTATCCTTACAATGATCTGTACCTGGAACGAGGCGGCGATCCCACCAAAGAGCCTGAGCCAGAGGTTCACTATGAGATCTGAGGCAGCTTCCTGGGCTTTTGTGTCCCCTAACTAGGACGCTCAGTCTTGGAGCTTAACCTTAATGAAATCCCTAATAAAACTGAGTGATGCTGTTCAAAAAAATAATAATAATAATAAGTTAGCTTCTCAGAAGCTTCTTTTACCTCAGCTAACCATTGTTAGGTAGATTTATCTACTTAAAGGTATCTCCTGATTTTTCTACCTAAAGTTATCTATTTTAGATAGAAAAATGGAGAGACAGCTTTAGGGAGATAATAACCACCTGTGTCTTTCTCTTATATCATGGGCACATTTAAGAAAATTCAATTCAAAGGCATTTTCTAAGATAGAGACAATTTCTCAATTGTTCTGATACCATTTCTAGTGCATGCACTCATCAAATGTTTCTAAATGTTTCTAGTAATAGTCCCCCTATTCCTCATTCCCAATAACATCCTTTCAAAAATACTAAATATCTGGCATACTTCTACATCAAAAAATAATGTCTTTGGATATTAATCAACCAGTGGTGCCCCTTGAGCATTTCATTTTCTTATGGGATTAGAAAATGGCAAAATGTATGGCCAAGAAGAGGCATAATGGTGCCAAGTGGTCCAATGGATAAAAGCTTTGGATTTAAAACTCTAGGTTTGAAGAAATCCACTTTGGGTTAGGACGTAGAGTCACTGAAACACTTTCACCCACCGCTAGTAGGGATGGAAAAGGGACACAAGTCATCGTGGAAAATGGTTTAGCAGTTCCTGATAAAGTTAAACACAATCCTGTTTCCAGGTCTTCATTCAAGAGAAGTATAAACATATGGTCACACAAACACCTGTACATGATTACTTATAGATTCATTCATAGATGACTAAACTGGAAATATCTGTTCATCAACTGGTAAATCGATAAGCAAGCCATGATGCATCCATGCTATGAGAGAATAAATGACTAATATCTTCAACAACAGATGAATCACAGATATAGAATGCTATGTAAAAAGCCAAACTCAAAAGGCAAAACTGTTAACTTGTTAGTGGCTGCTAGGATTGAGGAGTTTTGGGGGTGATAATGAAATTATTCTATACATTATAGTGGTGGTTACACAATGTTGTGTTTTAGTAAAAAAACCAAAACAACAACCATAGAAATGTCACCAAAAAGGGTGAATTTTACTGGCTTATATTGTATAGCAGGCACTGTACATGTGATGCTGAATAAAAATCACACTAACAAAAAACTGTGGAGCGGGGAAAGAGATAAAATAAATATTTATTACATAAGGTAAAACATTTAATGATAAACATGTGAGTAAGGTGCGTCCAGGGAAACCAGGCAGGGCATTCCACGAATGAGAATGAAAGATTCACACCAGTTGAATAAAGAGACAAACACAAATGTGCGAAGTCTGTATGCAACACAGACAACTGGGATCCAGCAAGCTTTACCCAACACATACTTTGAAAAAGTGTTTGTGAAAATCAAGGCAAAGTGGAAAAAGTACCTCACGATGATTTAGAAGTTGTTCCAAATCTAATGCCATTTGATTCTTCATCTGAAGTAAAGCTGACTTTTCTTTATTTAAATTGCTGAAACAAAACCCAACATATTTAAAAATGTTATATTCTCCTATCTACTTCACAATAAAAAATTCATTTAAAAATCATATTGGTACAAACTTAATAAATAGTAAATCACAAAATTGCAGGCATAAATCTGATGGTTTGAATTAAAGACATATTTATAGTCTACAAAAAGAAATAAAATCAGCTTTTGTTTTATCCTATTTAATAATTAATGCTATTTTGTAATATATATATATAAATTTAAAAGAAAACAATAATGGCAGGGCAATGAAGATACTTTTATGAGAATACTTCCTTGACTATTTAGGGTATAAAATTAACCTTTTTTTTTTTAAACATTTTATTAGGGGCTCATACAACTGTTATCCCAATCCATACACACATCAATTGTGTAAAGCACATTGGTACATCGTTTCTCAAAACATTTTCTCTCCATTTAAACCCCCGACATTGGGTCCTAATTTTTCCCCTCCCTCCCAAAATTAACCTTTTAAAGAGAAATACTTTCTTCTGAAGTGTGAAAAATGTGGTGAGACTTAAAGGTAAAAATAAAGTATGTATAGGTACAATAATACAACATATAAATGAGAACTCAAAACATTTTTCTCTTCAAACTTTAATGTCCTATTTTATATTTACACATACAAAAATACAAGAAACCCTGGTGGTGGAATGGGTTAAGTTTTTGACTACTAACCAAAAGGTTGGGGGTTCAAATCCACCAACTGCTCAAGAGAAAGAGAGGGAAGTTGGTTCCTGTTAAGATTTATAGCCTCAGAAACCCTAGGGAGCAGTCTACTCTGTCCTATAAGGGTTACTATGAGTCATGGCCGACTGAATGGCAGTGAATTGGAAATACCAAGGATACAGTTTGGTTAGATAAATGGGCTGTGTTTGGCTGTGCTAAGCTTGGGAAAATATATATTTTTTAATCTCCAAATTTTTAGTACAGTCTTCAATTTCTTATTTTACATTGTGAATTTCCTTTTGGTATCATCTATTTAAGAAGCCCTGATAGTGCTGTGGGGTAAGCGTTGAGCTTTTAACTGCAAGGTTTTCAGTTCAAAACCCAGTGGCCACTCTTTGGGAGAAAGGTAAGGTTTTGTAAAAAGAATTACATTCTGGGAAGCCCTATATATAGTACTGTTATGAATTAGAATCAACTTGATAGCAATGGATTTAGGGTTGTTTGGGGGTGGCTCTGTGGGTTAGGTGTTTGACTGCTAATGACAAGATTGGTAGTTCAAACGTACGGCTTATTGCTCCTGGAAAGATTTACTGCATCTGAACCCCTACACAGGATTGTTATGGGTTGAAGACAACTTGATGACAGTGGGCTGTTTATCAGCTTTTCTGATAAGAGAGGGTGGGAATGAACTGTATTTTTGTTATGAAATGAACTGTAAAGATACATCAATTTCTTGTAGTATAAATTGTTGGATTCACTCTGATGAACAATCAATTCTAACGGAAGCAGCAGCCAAGAGATCAAACAATGCATCACATTGGGTAAATCTGAAGTACAAGACCTCCTTAAAGTGCTGAAAAGCAAGGAAGTTCCTTTGAGGGCTAAGGTGTGCCTGACCCAAGCCATGGTATTTTCCATTGCCTCTTATGCATGCAAAAATTGGGCACTGCACAAGGAACAAGGACCGAAGAAGAATCAATGCATTTCAATTACGGTGCTGATAAAGAATACTGGAAGTACCATGAACTGCTAAGGAACAGATCTGTCTTGGAAGAAGTACAGCCAGAATGCTTGTTAAAAACAAGTACGGCATGGAAGCAGCACACTACATGGAAGAAGCACACCAGCCTGCGAGATCACAAGGCATTGAAGGGATCAAGTATCAGGCATCAAAGACCAAAAAAAAAAAAATCATAGCATTGTGAATGAGGGGAAGTGCGGAGTGGGGACCCAGGGTCCATCTGTGGGAAATTGGACATCCCCTTGCAGAAGGGCTGTGGGAAGGAGACAAGCCAGTCAGGGTGCAGTGTAGCAAAGATGAAATATGCAGTTTCCCTCTGGTTCTTGAATGCTTCCTTCCCCCCACTATCATGATCCCAATTCTACCTTACATATCCGGTTGGACCAGAGGATGTTCACTGGCACAGATAGGAACTGGAAATACAGGGAATCCAGGACAGATGAACTCCTCAGGACCAGTGGAGAGAGTGGTGATATCGGGAGGGTAGAGGGAAGGTGAGGGAGAAAGGGGGAAAAGATTAAAAGGTCTACATATATCCTCCTCCCCGGGGGACAGACAGCGGAGAAGTGAGGGAGGGAGACGTTGGATGGTGTGAGATATGACAAAATAATAATAATTTATAAATTATCAAGGATTCAGTGGGGTGAGGGGAACGGGGAAAGAGGGGGGAAAATGAGGGCTTAAATAGAAAGCAGGTATTTTGAGAATGATGATGGCAACATATGTACAAATGTGCTGGACACAAATGATGTATGTATGGATTGTGATGAGTTGTATGAGCCCCTAATAAAATGATTAAAAAAAAAAAGAAAGCAAAAGGCAATTACAAAGACAGAAAAGAGAAGCAGCAGAATGGTGTATGTGAGGCCAGAAGGTAGTAGAGTGGAAGGGAAGGGAGAAGTAATGGTTATGGATATTTAATATGATATTAATATGTTATTAATATATATCAGCAATATACTTCCTCAAAGTCTCATACAAAATATTAATAGCATTCCATGCTGAGTTTGGTAGTGTCTGGCTTTTTGCAGTTTCAAAATTAAAAATAAGTCATCTTGTTTAATATATATCTTTGATTATTGGTGCATTAAATAGGTTCTTATATATTTATTGACTTTGTATTTCAATTTCTGTAAGTTATAGGTGCCATTTGTTCATTTTAATAGCATTTTTTCTTTTAGGAACTAATTATTTATTAAAAACATTTTATCCCTTTGGGGGGAAAAAAAAAGTGTGGCAAGATTTCATCTCACATACCTTGGACATGTTGTCAGGAGAGACCAGTCCCTGGAGAAGGACACCATGTTTGGT